GACAAAAAGTCATAAAGAAGAAAAGATTGAAAAGGCTAAAATTAAGAAGGTAAGTAATGAAAATAACGCATGCGTATCTACAGATTGAACCTTTCTAGTTCAGAATTCTAGTCCTCTGGAATGATTTTAGTTAGCCAGATGTCCACTTTTCATGGGTATGGCCAAGTTTCCCATGGTCCCATAAAATTTGTTTACAGCCACTAGTCCTCGCTCTCTGTGTTCTGTGCTGTTATTTAGCTCTAATTTACCCCTAAATGTTCTCTAACAGCCCAGTAATCAGTGGAATTGTTGGCAATGCTGCTAGACAATATTGACCTCCTGTGGTCCTGAAAATTCTCTTGTTCAGAACTGGTCAGGTCCCAAGGGTGCCGGACTAGAGAGGTTCAATCTGTACTTAATTTGTTTTCTTTTGTGCTAGGCAGGTTCTTAACTTGACGAGGAGTCTTTTGTGCTAGGCAGGTTCTTAACTTGTATTTTGCTATAGTTTTCCAGCTGTGCATTGTAATAAAACATGAATGCAAGGGGGCTGGACTTGATGGCCTTCTAAGGTCTCCAAATGCAAGGGGGCTGAACTTGATGGCCTTCTAAGGTCTCTTCCAGCTCTATGATTCTAAGAAATGTATGTAGATTGGCAATGTAATATTTCCTTTTGGGTGTAATGTATTTGCGACTCTTGTCAGAGTATTTTCAATATTTTAAAATATTGTACATATTAACACTGGACTTGTCTTTAAAATACGTATACAGTGTTTTTGTAGTGCAATCACTTTTTCTTGACCATATTTCTCTAAATTATCTTAGATTCACACATTATTAAATGTGACATTAAAATTTTAAAAATAGGGTTCATATCTTTTTAGCTGTTTAAAAGTAGCCTGAAGTTTTTTAAAAAAAGGCAAAAAAACACATCAACTTTTGTGTGGTTTGATTCTCCTGGAGAACACATTGAGCGTCTTATGAGGACTCAGAGGTGTGTCAGACCTATTTGAGGTGCTAAGAGGGTTGAATTTTCTCCCAAGTGCATATTAAACATTGACATTAAATAGATCTTGAGGCAAGCTTTAAGCCATCAGGATAAAACTCAAAGCTTGGTTGTTCTGCTTTCAATCTCTTGTCTGATATCATAATACTAGTCATTTTCCAGTCCATAAAATTAGAGTGAGACGAGTTGAAGTTTAGACAAAAAGAATAATACAGGAGATATCTTTCAGGACTTCTTAATATTGTAAAGTAGCAAAAAGGGCACAAATATATTTTTCCCATTTCTAACACCCCTTTAAAATGTTCATCATTCTAGTTGACTAGATTAATTCATTATTTTGGAAGTTATTTTTTCTTGTTTAAAGTACTGTGATAGCAGAAGGAAGCTCTTGTGACACAAATTTCACTTAATCATCTGAAAGAGCAGTTTTGTATTTAAAATTCTCTCTCTGGTTTCTGATTGTATAATGGATTTATTCAGTATTGTACTAAATACTTTGTATTGTACTAAAGTCTTTCAAATTCATTTGGGAGCCAGAAGTTAAACTGGATTCTTTTCTGGTATGGCTAGCTGAAGGCTTTGTTCATCATCATAGTACCTAAGCACCTTCCATCTAAAATCAATAAAGTTCTAAATGGACTTCAGGAAGTCTCTGGCACTTCTTCCATTTTGAGGTTAAAACCTCTGCTTATGGGTAGGATTTTTAATTTTGATTTTAAATAATTTCCTTTTTTAGGTTGATTTTTCTGAGGGTTTTACATTTATTTTTATTAGGCGGTGTGACATACTGGGGGTACCTTGCTGGTTTCTATGCTGGCTCTGTGGTAACCCCCCCTGGCTGCTGTCGGTACCACGGCCCAGCAAGACAGGGGATGAGTCATTATGCAAAGAGGGTCTCTTAACCTGTCTGACCAGCTACCCCCCAGGGAGAGAAACAAAGGACGGTGGAATGCTGCCCCTGGCTGGGGGGCAGAGCTGGAAGAGAGTTAGTTAGTCTCTGTCTGGGATCATGGAGGAAGCAGCCTAAGCAACAGGCTGCGGTTTTGGAAGCCGAGACTCCCCGCCCCATATCAAGGGGTGCTGAGGCATCCTAGGCCTGCCCTGGAACCAGATTACATCTGTGCTGTGCTGTATCCTGGAGAAGCAATAAACTCCCTCTATTCTACTGGCTGGTGAAGTCTGTTCGTGCCATTTCGGGGGTGCAGGAGGTGGGAAAACCCCAACGTGCCGTCACAGGCAGGTTTTTGGGTAGAAAGAGATGTCCGTATTGACTTCATATGGTTCATATGTTCAAAGAGGAAGATATTTTTAGTGCTTCCACAATTCCTATTTAGTCATTTATTGCTAACTAAATGCTGCCTCAATGCATATTACACAGATATGCCTGAAGGCAGAATTTGATCTTTCAGTTTGAATTTAGTTGTCAGTTCTGTTGGTTTTATAGGAATAATAAGGAATATAATTTAACTTGCTGCATATGGTTCATATGTTCAAAGAGGAAGATATTTTTAGTGCTTCCACAATTCCTATTTAGTCATTTATTGCTAACTAAATGCTGCCTCAATGCATATTACACAGATATGCCTGAAGGCAGAATTTGATCTTTCAGTTTGAATTTAGTTGTCAGTTCTGTTGGTTTTATAGGAATAATAAGGAATATAATTTAACTTGCTGTTTCATTGCTGCGGGACTGGCTTTTTTGTTGTTGCGAGACTTCTTTTGTCTCTACACAGAGACTTTCATTTCCCTGTTTGACACAGGTAACATGAATTATGAAAGCCAGTAACTTGATTTCTAGCTCTGCCTTTGTATTTTTCGCGGTGGTGGTTATCTCTTCCCCCCCACTGCTCCCCCCCATTTTGTACGAGGGTCTACTCACTCTAGCCTCAGAACTCTTAACTGCAACATACTTGAGGCTTTGTCTACACTTTTAAAATTAAAGCGTAGCCATGGCAGCACTTTAAATTGAAAGTGTGGCCATGGCAGAAGCACTGAAAGAAAGTATATAAACCACATCCATGAGGAGAGAAGCTAACAACACTGGGTGCCTGTTTTAGGGATGTAAGCGACTAATTGACTAGTCAACAAGTCTCTTCCCTCCCTTGCTGCCCCTATCCCAAATAGGCAGCAAGAGGGGGAAGTGAGGGGGTGCTGGAGGGAGCAGCTTAAAAGCCAGCTCCAGCTCCGTGGGAGGGAGCAGGGGCCCAGCAGCGGCCAACTTTGAAATGTACAAGAGTCCCCGCTGGGGCTCTTGTGAATTTTAAAGCAGAAATGCTGCATTGCACCTGAGGTCAGCGGGGGACTCAGAGTCCTGTGCTGGCCCCAGGCTCCATGCTGCTCTTCCTCTTTGAAATGAGCCAGAGAATCTTAAAGCAGAAATGCTGCATGGCACCTGAGGTCAGCGGGGGACTCAAGAGTCCTGTGCTGGCCCCAGGCTCCATGCTGCTCTTCCTCTTTGAAATGAGCCAGAGCCCCTGCTGGGACTCTTGTATCTTTCAAAGTTGGCACGACATGTGGAGCATGGAGCCAGCAGGGAGTCCCCACTGGGCTCTTGTACATTTCAAAACGAAAGTGCCCACATGGAACCTAGGGTCAGCGGGGAGCTCCCTGCTGGCCACGGGCTATGGAGTGCCAACTTTGAAATGTTTAAGGGGGACTCCGAGTCCCCCGCTGACCCCAGGCTCCATGCGGCGCTTCCACTTTGAAATGCACAAAAGTCCCCGCTGGGGCGCCACACAAAGTTTCAATCTTTGAAATGCACACAAGCCCCTGCCACACAAGGTTTCAGTCCCTTTTGGGGCTCTTGTACATTTCAAAGGTGGAACTTGAAAGTCCTTATCAACTAATCAAATAGTCAATGGAAATCCCATTGACTATTTGAATACTTAATCGAAATTTAATATCCCTAGCACTATAACTTGCGGCTCTTGAGTGGAGTGGTGGGTTTTTTTTCACATCCCTGGAGCAGAAAGTTACATTACAGCCAAGTGGCAGTATAAACTGAAATAAGAGGTGTTAACCAACACAGGCACACACCCCCAGCTCAGCAAGTTACAGCACAGTAAAGTGCTAGTATGAACCAGGCTAGTTAACTACTCTCCTTGTAGAGTTGGTTTACATAGAGTGCTCGGAGATCTTGCTTCTCAGCACTGGTGCTATGATCACACTTTCTGTTTCAAGAGCAAAGTTTTAGCCAGAGTGTGATACGTGATGAGTTCGGAAGCTGGATGCAGCAAGGCAGGTTGTTTATAAACAGAGGTAGGGTGATTAAGAGAACAAAAGGCTTGTGGTTAAATAAGCGAAAGATCATTTGATGATCCCAAAAGCATTTTCAAACACTCGAGTTAAAGATAGAAAACAAATGGGGAGAAGAAAATAGTGATGTCCTCTGGAGGTCTGTACTGGGACCAGTGCTGTTCAGTATGTTCTAAAATGATGTAAGAAAGGATAAATTGTGAGTTGGGTAAAATTTGCAGATGATAAAAAATTTCTTCAAGATAGTTAAGTCTAAAGCAGACTTTCTAAAATGATGTAAGAAAGGATAAATTGTGAGTTGGGTAAAATTTGCAGATGATAAAAAATTTCTTCAAGATAGTTAAGTCTAAAGCAGACTGCAAAGAATTTTAAAGGGATTTCACAAAACTGGGTAACTTGTAGAGCCCTGCAAATCCGCAGGTATTCGCATTCCACATCTGAAGATGTGGATGTGGATATCTGCAGCTTATTTTTTATGGATATTGTTCCGGACACAAGGATTGTTAGGAAGAGATGGGATCCACCTAACCAAGACAGGAAAGAGTATCTTCATGGGCAGGCTTGCAAACCTAGAGAGGAGGGTTTTAAACCAGGTTTGTTGGGGGATGGTGACCAAAGCCCTGATGTAAGGGAGTAAGTTGGACACTGGGAAGAATCGCAAGGAGGAACAAGCAACAAAGGAGGACCCCTGATTCAGATGGAGAAGGCAGGGTGATAAACTGGTTATCTAAGGTGTTTGTACACGAATGCGAGAAGCCTGGGCAACAAACAGGAAGAATTAGAAGCCCTAGCCCAGTTAAAGAACTATGATT